ATGACTACTCAGTTCTCTGAATAATACACTTATTTTCACCACTTTATTATACAATCAAATCGAATTTATATTACGATCTACCTCTGTACTCAATATGTTGTTTTATTCGTCATCTGTCTATTCCTGCCGCACTGTATCAGCGGTAAATACCGCAGTTTAAGTAACTGGCAAAGTCCGCCCTAATGCATTCTTCTGTATTAGCATCTTCCTGGCTATTCTTGCATATTTTTATTCTTCCAAATTTTAAAATTGTTTTGCCAAGTTCCAAAAGAATTCCATTAGAATTATATTGGGCTGTAATAAATTTATAGGTTGGTTTTAGGAAAAACTGACACTTTTACAATGTGTGTCTTCCAAGCCAAGAATATGACATCCCTCTTTATTTACGTAAGTGTTCTTTCTCACTGGACACTGATTCTTAGTGATATGAGCTAGTTTCTTCTGAAGAGACCAATTTTTTGTTGTTGTTACCAATCCTGCTGTAAGCAGCAAGGTCAATGTAATCATTTCACGCTGGGTCACTGAGTACTCTTGACAGTTAGCATAGACACTTGGGTGTATTCTTGAAAACTGTGTTGTGATGATTAATTATCCAAGATTTCAGGTTGGGATTTTTAAAACTGAATATAGAGGGATGGCCAGTTGAAAAAACTGCTTGGAAAATTCAAAACATCCAGAAATCACCAATTTGTATTTTTGCTATTTGCCTGCAAAAGATTTCTTTTACTGAAAAATGGTGTCATTATTCCAGAGCAGGAATGGCGACTATAATGTTATCTTAGCCACATATTTGTGGCACATCTGAGAGTTGTTTGCATAAAATGTACTGGCTAGAAGCCACAGCTACTGATCCAAAACCTATTCTAATATTGACAAGACAATAAAGAAGAATGGTACATGCCAAGTTATTTAACAAAGCTTGCCAAGGAAGCCACCGTGCCTGCTTTCCTTTTCCATTGTGTACTCAATGCCTAATACAATGCCTGTTACATAGTTGGTGCCTAACTATTTATTAAAGGAATGAACGCAGTCTTCAGCAAGGATTTACAAGTATACTTTTTAAGGTAAAAACTTGGAGAATGTAATTTGCTGCCAGCCTGGCTGACCAGCACGCATCTCTGCTTCCATGGCCGAATTAACAGCTTCTGGTTTGGTAGCTGAGACTACTGAGACTTCTGCCTGTCCCTCACCTAATAACCTTCTCCAAGACCTGCCCTGGAAGCTTGGGCAGTTCCTCCCAGTTTACCTTCCATTCCACTGGTGGGTGTTCCTGAAGAGCTGGCTTCCGTTTTCCTTCCCACCAGCCTTCTGTTGCCAAAGATCCCTTGTGCCTCATACCCAGCCAAGTCACAAAACCTTGAACAAACACAGTGACATTTCGTTGTTGGCACCAGAATCAGAGAGTATACCATGTTACAAGTTGAGTGTTGGAACAACACTTGAATGACAGACTTTGCCTGGTCTCCTTTCATGAAGAGTAGGCTGGTGGGCTAGAATGAGTCTATCGTAGCCAGAAGGCTGCAATGAAAATACTTTTTACCCACAGTTGCAAATATGAGTTTATGAATAAGAATGTTAGGTCAAAGAGAATGCAGAATGAAAGAGGAACGTATCCACCTACATAATCAAAGCCAGGAGAGTCTGCAACTGATATTAGGAGCTGGAATAGAATGCCAAGGGGTTGGAGACCAGAGAATATTGAAGGATGTATCCAAGATAGCTGCAGCCAAAAGTTGAGCTTTTACATACTTTCAGAGATTCATGGCATGGGCAATCTGAATTTATTTAAATGTCCTAGCATGAAGCAGATGTAACAGAGAATAATTGTTAAAGAGGTGGCGTAAATGTTAGGAGGTTATCGCATCTAAGTGAGAATCATTAAAAGACTAGGAGAGTCACAGTGGGAACAGAGAGGCCAGGAACCAATTCGAAAGTAATTTCAGAAATAGAATAGTGGGAACAAATGGTTGTATAACCAAAAGTCATGAATTCTAGAGATATTAGTTGAAGCAGGGAGAAAGTACAAATAGAAAAACTCAAATGATAGAATATGATCCATAAAGATCAATAGGCACTGTGAAAATTTGGATAGTGCAATAATCATTTTCATGGATCCTTTTAAAATTGCCTATTTAAAATGCATTATCGTTATTGTCCATGACAATTCCGTAAGAGTAACATCCTTTAGAATTACTTCCATTTTAATAGTTCTGAGAGTGTGACTTACTCTGATTTACATAGCAGCTTGGAGGCAAATCCGTAAAACCTTAGGGCTTTTAATCTCCATGTCCTGTTATTGGATTCCACTCATATTTGAATTCAACTCTCGCAGTCCCACTGCAACTCGGAGTCACACACACAATCTCCTAAATTTTAAATGTGACGTCTGAGACTAAAATGAAAATGATTTCTCTATTATCAATACTTCCAGATATAGATAAGTAAATAGATAAATAAATGTATTGATGTTGCTAAATGCTTTCGGAACGAGGGAGGTGACCTCATTGCTACACTTTTTTCAGGAACTGTAGAGTGACAAGTAAGACCATTGGTTCCTCCCTCCCTCGCCTTCCTCCCTCCTTTCACTTGTTTCTTCCTTCCAAATTTTTTCCAGCAAATATTTATGGAATGCTAATGATGTGTCAGCTCATGCTGGGCTCTAAGAGATACAAAACTAAGAAAACCAGGTGCCCTAACTTCTAGGATGGGGGAGTCAAATTTGCATGAAGCCCCTCAGAGAAAGATCAAGGGTGCCTGAGGGGCATTTGGGTTCTGAAGAGCCAGCGCTCAGATACCAAGATGAAAAAGGATAAAAGTCTTCCCAGTCCTGGCAGGAGAAGCCTGAGGTGGGGGAAGGGAGTGAAGCCTTCTCAGGGACACAAGGTCAGGGTCAGTAAGGAGGATATAAGTACAAAACCCGTAGAGGGTTTTGTGACACAGATAGCCACCTCCCTTTGGCAGGCAAGAGATACAACTCTTTAGAGGCCATATCATCTGAAATTGGCTGAAAGAGCTGTCCTAACAAGGAGAAAAAAAATCTCCCTTTGGGTCATGGAAAGAGCTGGAGCTTTTAGCAAAGCTGGGGAGTGGGGTGAGGGGTTGGGGGAGAACTTTTCATGTGAAGATGAGTTGATGCTGGGTAGGGAGGTCGTGCAGTGAGGTAGAAAGAAGAGGGTTAGAAGACTGAGATTTCAGTGTTGTCTCTACCACTTATTAGCTGAGCAATCTTGAGCCAATAATAGCTATGAGCTCTTGTTTCTCCTTCCGTAAAAACCCCAGGTCATAAAAATGAGTGGTCCCATTTATCAAATTATGTGAATTATTTTTTAATCCTCACAACAACCCTAAGAAGTAATGATTATTACTATCCCCATAATACAGATGAGGAAATTGAGGCTTAAGGCGGTTGAATACATTTTCAAAATTTACGTATCTAGTTAAGGGCAGAGCTGGATTTTGAACTCATATCTTGACTTAAAACTCTGTGTTCTTACCTATTTATACTCTTCTGCCTCTCGCCCAAGGGTTTGTATGAGGAACTAAACGCGATCAAGTTTTACTGAAATGTTGATAATTAATTTGACGATTCAAGCCCTGATTGTTCTGATACTTGCAATTTTAATTTTCTTTAGAGAATAGATTTGAGCCTGTGCATTTATATTATTTTTCAAGCATAATTACTTTTCTCTTCCTTTTTCTGTTTTTGTTCAGTTTATTTTGTCACATAATTAGCTTTTTGAGGAAAGAAAAATCTCTTGAACATTACAAAACTGGTTAGAAATAATTAGCGTACCCTTGTGAGGGCATTGTATACTTTATTAACTGTGGTTATCCATAAATGGCTGTTCTTCTCTTGCTGTAGCAATGATGTGGGAAAGGATTGTATGAGTGCGAGTCTAGGGACCAAGCTTCTAATCCAAGGTCTGAGTTCATCGTCCTGTGTTTATCTTAGGTCCGCTACCCTGCTTGGGCTGCTGTCGCTTCACATTTAAAACAAGCGGATTAGATGAAATGACTGGCAACGTCCCTCGCAACATTAATAGCCTATGATTCTTTGTAACTTTAGAAGCGGACTTCGTTCAGAGGTATATAATTTTAAATCAATTTCTATTGTTAAGACTATTAATATATGGAGTGGCACTAAGCAAGTAATGGATGAGAAAAAGAAACTGCGAATTAAAGAAATTTGACTAGATAATTTCGAAGTTCTTTCCAACATTGAAATTCTATCATCCAAATAATCCTATATTGTAATCTCAGAGCACTGTGTGATATTTCAAAAGACTTTGTTTGATTTATCCTTCCTGATCCTCACGGGGACAGTGTGAAGTAGTGAGGAGGGTGGTTTCGTCCACACGCTACAAAAGAAGGAAATAAAGAGGAAGCGGCGGCCGGAGCAGGGACAGAAAGACTTTCTGGTTCCTGGTCTGTCCGCTCTCCCACGGCATTTCCCCGCTCAATAAATATTAATCGTTAAAGACGGTTGCTTAATGCAAACTGCATTTTATTCTGGTTTGACAGAGGAGTAATCCTCAGCAATGAATTCCTTCTTTGAAAGGCCAAAGTCTTTAGTTCATCAGTTTTTGAGTCATTTGTAGGGTCAACAAGGTTGGAACACACAATATCGGCAATTTTCCCCAAATTCGAAATCAGAAAAGCTGGAGAATGGGTTTTATTTTTTTCTTTTCAACTTAAAAAAGTCAAGTAAATAATACCCTAAACTCTCCTTGATCTTAAATACATTTCCTGAAAACTATGAGATTTTGAGGACATTTAGCAACTGTGACTAAGCAGCGCACATTTCAATTGCATTTACCTGTTAAATATTATTGTTATGTTTGTGGAAGAGATTAATTTAGCATGTTTTCACTCTTTAAAAATATTAATGTATATATTGTTGTCCGAGCAATGTACTATTATTTTATAGCAGTTTTACATGCACATGATAAAAAAAAATTTTATTAGTACAGAACAGTGTAAAATGAATATGATCTCCATACCATTCCAGCCGAGGCCTCCTCTTCAGAAACAAGCACTGTTAACAGCTCCTGTGGTTAGATCGTGCAGCAGTCACCATTATAATTTAAAACAATATGCTTATAGCTCTATTTCTCAGTTTATCAGCTTTAGAAAGGGTCTACTGGGGCCAGCCCGTGGCCGAGTGGTTGAGTTCACGCGCTCTGCTTCGGTGGCCTGGGGTTTCGCTGGTTTGGGTCCTGGGCATGGATGTGGCGCTGCTCATCAGGCCGTGCTGAGGCGGCATCCCACATAGCGCAACCAGAGAGACCTGTAACTAGAATATACAACTGTGTACTGGGGGTGCTTTGGGGAGAAAGGAAAGGAAAAAAAAGATTGGCAATAGACATTAGTTCAGGTGCCAATCTTTAAAACAAACAATCTACTGACTTCCACCTATAAAAGATGAGGAATTTCTGGTGTTTATACCTCCTCCCAACTTCTCTCTTCCCTTCTATCTGCTAATTTTTGTTAGTCACATTATATTATTTATAATATATTTCTAATTTTTTTCTAAAAATTCTATTTAAAATTATTTCTTATAAAACTTTAAATAATGTACCTAAACTTCTACTTCTGGATTTAGTTGTTTAGATAGATTCTTTTGATTCCCAGTTATGTAAGAGGGTCCAGATCTCAATTTTTGTTACGTATATATGTGTATCTATCTAGTCATCTCTCTCTATAAATACATGGTCATGGTTGACTATATTTACATTCTGCTCTGTAACTATAATTAATTCTTCTGAAGATTAAAAGTTAATCCATATAAATACTCAGCACACTGCCAGGCACATAACTGCTCCGTAACTGCCAGCTGTTATTATCAACTGAGTGGTGTGAATGAACCCCCATTGAGAAGGAAATGTCATCTTATTTAATTGAAATGTTGCAGCTTAAATGATATTCTTTTAAGCTTGAAGAACTAATATATCCTCCCTCCCCCTCCCTTTCCTCCTTTTCTTGCCTTCTTCACTTCCTCTGGGTCATACTCAGATGGCATTGCTTCTTGTTTTCTTTCTTGAATTACAATTCATTGGATTACTTCTCTGAGTTTTTGTTTTGCATAGGAAGTAAGCTCTCTGAATTCTTTCTTTTCTTTTTTCCCCTGAGGAAGATTAGCCCCAAGCTAACATCTATGCCAATCTTTCTCCACTTTATATGTGAGTTGCTGCCACAGCATGGCTGACGAAGGGTGTAGGTCTGCATGTGGGATCTGAACCCACAAACCCAGGCAGCTGAAGCAGAGCACACCAGACTTAACCACTATGCCACAGGGCCGGCCCCAAGCTCTTTGAATTCTTAAACACCTAAAAATGATCTTTTTTAGCCCTCACATTTGATGGATAGTTTGGCTAGGTTTAGAATTCTGAGCTCCATTTTTCTTCTCAGAATTTTGAAGACATTCTGCCAATAGAATGTGAGACCCACCAGGGCAGGGTATTGGTCTGTTTGGTTCACAGATACATCCCAAGGATCCGGAACAATGTCCAGCACACAGTGTATATTCAATACATGCCAGTTTTGTTAATGAGTTATCTTCTAGTGACTAGTATTGCTGAAGAGGAATTGGGTAACAGTCTGATTATTCTCTTTTACTTCCTGCCTTTTGGGAAGATTTTAACATTTTTTTTGTTTCTAGAGTTCTAAAATTTCACCAAGGTGTCTAGATGTGTTTTTCTTTGTTTTTCCTGTTCCATAATTGGTAGGCTTCGTCAATCTGAAAACTCTTTAATATAAGAAAATTTATCTCATTATTTCCTTCACTATTTTTTCTCCATAGTCCCTATCCCTTCTAGACTCATGTTTAGATAATTGTTAGATTTCCTAGTGCTGACTTCTATGAGTCTTAACTTTTTCTCATTTTTCTGTCATTTTACTTCCTTTACTTTATCTTCCAGGTAACCAACTTGATCTTCTATTGCATCTATATTATTATTTAACAATTCTATTGAAATTTTTGTTTTAGTTTCCAAGAACTCTTTCACCTTCTCTGATTGTTACTTTTCATCACAAACCGTAATTTTTTTTTAAGAATGCAGTAGGTTAGAACTTCCTCTGATGATACTGACTATTGTTTTTATTATTCTTACTGGAATTGTTTTAAATATGAATTTTCTTAATTGGCTCATACAGGTTTTAGGAATGTGATTGATTTGTGTGTGTGTTGATTAGGTTTTTAATTTTTAAATTTTTTGTTTTTTTTGAGGAAGATTAGCCCAGAGCGCACATCTGTTGCCAATCCTTCCCTTTTTGCTGAGGAAGACTGGCCCTGAGCTAATATCTGTGCCCATCTTCCTCTACTTTATATGTGGGACGCCTGCCACAGCATGGCTTGACAAGCACTGTGTAGGTCCACTCCCAGGATCCCAACCAGCGAAGCCTGGGCCACCGAAGCAGAATGTGAGAACTTAACTGCTATGCCACTGGGCCAGCCCCAGGTTTTTAAAAAAAGTTCTCTTTAACTGCTTGGATTACCTTTCTCCTTCAGCCTCAGTTATCTAATTTATTTTTCTAAGCCTTTCCCTTTTGAGCTGTTTTTTCTCACAAGTTTGATATTCCCTGTTGCCCATTTATATGAATGAATTAAGAAGTAAACAAACATCTTAATTCAGTATAGGTAGTTGTATGCGTTTCCTCTTCAATTGTTTAGGTTTGTTTCCCCAAAAAGCTTTCCCCCTTGAACAGAATGATTGACAGTAGTTTTTGTGTGAGTAGGTGGGGTTTGTGGACAGGAAGCTCCCCTGTAGGTTTTCCTGTGGGCAAAGAGCACGCAAGCAGCCTCAGAACCCAGAGGTTTCCAGGTGGAGGGGGTGGAGGTGCTTTTGAGTCTGACTATTTCCCCTCTGAGTTTACCAAGCAATTCAGAACTTTTGCAGTATCTCCTCTCAGGCAACAAACTCTTCACCAGGAACCCTCTACTTCCTTTCTAGAAGGCGGTGCTGCTGGCTTTTAGCCTGAGGGCAGAAGTCTCAGCTGCCAAGTTCTGTTTACACAGGTCAGAAGGAAGGGGCCCAGCTGTCCCTAGGCACTGAATCCAGTTCTTTAATGAGGCCACTGATGATTGCCCCACAGCCCATCATTGTATTGTTGACTGAGTGTGAGCTCCCTTCTGGGGCCCGCTTGGGAAAACACATGCTCATTTCTTGTGCCCTGGCCTGCAGCTTGCTACACTTTCTCATCAGTTCATCCATCTGCTTTCTGTCTCTCAGAAATTTCTCAAAACTTGTAGTCTGCTGATGACACTTTTTCTTGTTTCCTATTGCTGTCATTATCTCATTCTCTTTAAAGAATCTTTTCTGTCACTTTGATGGGAATATGGAAGGTAGTAGAGATACACGCATGAGCTTAATCCACCATTGAGTGTGTATGTTTGTACACACACACACACACACACATTTGAAAAGCAAATATAACAACACATCTATTTAATCCTTTGGGGGAAGATGGAGTCCTATAATTTAACAGAATATAGTCTCTGAATTTCTTAGTTGGTTCCAGCGTTTTGCCCAGTTTATGCTTATTAAAAAAATTAATGCTGAACGTGTCAGGAATTGCAGTTATAAAGTATGAAAATAAAAAAGTTTCAAAGTGAGATTTTAGAATTATTTTACAGAATTATTTGCACCTGAAAAGGAAGATTTGGTCTTTGTGGCTTTTCTGGTGTCTTTACCTCTGAATTTAGACCTGAGTACCCCGACTCCAGAGTGGATACGATGGAGCTCTTGCTAAGGCATTGTTTTAGACACAATTGTGTAAGAAGCGCTGTTCAACTCTTATAACCTCTGGGCATATCAACGTCATTTGCATTCTCCTGATTCCAATTCCTTTTCTTAGAAATTCCTCAAATAAATGTTTAACTTAAGATGAAGACAATCAAACATTTTTTATTATAAAAAACAGAAGCTAAACTCTGAAATGAGCAATATGCTAAACAGTAGTAAATCTAAGGTCAGAGCTGGGCTCTACCGTGCACGACAGGGAAGCCTGGGCCAATGACTTAAACTTTCTAAGCTTCACTTTTATGAATGTAAAAATTACCGTCATAACAGTACCTACCTCATAGGCTGGTTTGGAGAAATAAGATAGTGTACACAAATCCCTTAGAACAGTCCCTGACACATAGTAAGGGCCTTATTAGATGTTAGCTATTATTATTTTAATAACATCCACAAATAATTCACATCGATATTACAGAACAGTTCTGGAATAAACATCCAATTCCTTCTCGTTAAGATATTGTAAAATATTTCTTACTTCCTCCTTCCATCTGGCTAGCTTTTTGGCACATTTTTAAAAATTGTAATAATATATATATAACATAAAATTTGCAGTTTTAAGCATTTTTAGGTGTGCAGTTCAGTGGCATTAAGTACATTCACATTGTGATGTAACCATCACCACCATCCATCTCCAGAGCTCTTTTCATCTTACAAAACTGAAACTCTGTCCCCGTTAAACAATAACTCCCTATTTTCCCCTCCCTCCAGCCCCGGCAACCACCATTCTACTTTCTGTCTCCATGAATTTGACTACTGTAGATACCTCATATAAGTGAAATCAGACAATATTTGTCCTTTTGTGACAGGCTTATTTCACTTAGTTTCAAGGTTCAGCGTAGTATGTGTCAGAATTTCACTCCTTTTTAAGACTGAATACTATTCCATTGTATGTATACACCACATTTTGTTTATCTGATCATCTGTTGGTGGACTGAGGTTGCTTTCACTTTGGCTATTGTGAATAATGCTGCTATGAGCATGGGTGTACAAATATCTGTTCAAGTCCTTGCTTTCACTTCTTTCAGGAATATACCCGGAAGTGGAAGTGCTGGATCATGCGGCACCTGATTTTTTTGTTCTCAGTCTTCTCATTTGGTGTCCCAGTTGCATTCCTGTGTTTGAGGGATTTATAAGTCACATACCAGATTTGTTTTCTTCTGTGTTTCACAGATAAATATGCTGACGCATCTTTTCAAAGGGGGGAGATGGAGTCCTTTTCCTCTGCCTGGCAGGGGGCCACCCTGTGCTGCTCCACCATCATGACTCAACTGGTGGGATCCACTCACCAGTCCCAAGGGCTCCTCTGGGGCTGAGGAGTCATTCCTGTGGCCCTGTTTATTATTTCATATAGGAACCCCCTTTCTGCTATCCACCAGAAATAGCTCTACAACGACAGCCCCTCAACTACCCCAAGAATGAGGAATTGGTTAGGAAGGCTTTTACTCTCCATGAAAATTGACTTCCATTCAACAGTGCTTCGGATGGTTTCTGAACATCTAAAATGTGCCAGATGTGCTAGGCAACAGGGGTGCAAGTGTGTGTGAGGCTTGGCCTCCCAGTTTGGAGGGGAGCGTATGGGCATCCCCCTCTACGCCCCCTCAATCCGAGATTAGAACTAGACTGTCTCACACAAGGATATGACAGAAGTCGTCAAAGAGTATTGTGGTGTGCTTGGCAATGGTGGATTTCGGTTTGGTAGGTTCTGTAAGTGGACAATTTACGGGCCCTGTAGGGAAAAGAATACAAAGTTATGAATTCAAAGTGAGATACAGGGGCCGGCCCAGTGGCGCAGTGGTTAAGTGAACAAATTCTGCTTGGGTGGCCCGGGGTTTGTCAGTTTGGATCCCGGGTGCAGACATGGCACTACTTGACAAGCCATGCTGTGGTAGGTGTCCCACATATAAAGTGGAGGAAGATGGGCATGGATGTTAGCTCAGGGTCAGTCTTCCTCGGCAAAAAGAGGAGGATTGGCGGCAGATGCTAGCTCAAGGCTAATCTTCCTCAAAAAAAAAAAGTGAGATACAATGAAAGGGATTGGTACAAATGAGGCATGGCCCTGAAGCATAAGCTTCATTAACCTCACAGTAAATCTGCTTAGGGATTTGAGGAATATTAAAAAGGTCCTTTACCCCTCGATGTCTCCTTCAGTAGTCCTATTATGTGCCTAGAGTTTCTGTCATTGTTTTCATTCCACAGTTAACAAATTAAAAGCCTTGGTGATATTGGAAATGTTTGGGTGCCAGATAATACTTAAACCTCTACCATCTTCAGTTATCCAGGGCTTGAGAAGGCTCTGATGGCGAGGACCAGACTTGGAGGATAAACTAGGTTTTTAAAAATACCATATCTGGTGTAAAACATTTGGAAAGGCACAAAGAGAAAAAACAAACTAACCTGTTAATTGTCCTACTACCAGAGATAATCATTGTTAACATTTTGGTGACTATCTTCCTAGTCTGTTTTATGTTCTCTTACATACTCTCAAGTTTATACTCAAGTTTATAACCTGCTTTTTTTTTGTGTGTGTAACAACACGCAGGAACATTTTCAGGCCACGCATTTTATAATTATATACATTTTAAGAAATTTTTTCCCATGGAAAGGAAAAATAAGACGT